TATATATATATATATATATATATATAATGTGATCAGTTGAACTGAAGTTAAAAACAAGGCAATTCATAAAACTCAATTCAAGAAAATAAAGATAAAATAAAAAAATATGTATATATAATTTTTTTTATTTTCTTGGATTTAATTTTATTAATTGCATTGCTGAGTTCAACTGATCACATTCTCTTCACATCAAGTCCAGTAAAAACGCTCATTCTTGACGAGCACATTGACCAACAGGTCAGGTTGCCAGTCCATCGCAGCGGAACACAGAGACGCAGAACAAACAACCATTCACACACACACTTGGCCTGCCGGAGTATCCGGAGAGAACCCACGCATGCTCAGGGAGAACATGCAAACTCAATGCAGAAAGACCTCAAGCCAAAAATCGAAGCCGGAACTTTCTTGCCACTGAGCAGCCGCAAAAACAATAAAAAAAATAATAAATAAAAATAAAATTTAAGAGATTTTATATTTTCGATTGCAAAAACAATCGAAAATATAAAATCTTTTAAATTTTATTTTGAAAAACTAAAATCTAGAAAATATAAAATCAGAGTTTCATTGACAGATTGCATCTAATCTAACATGTTCTTTGCTCGCAACAATAATAGAACAAAATTCCCTCCAAATGAGTGAGACATATTTAGCGTCGTCATCTATGAGTGACAGCTGTGCTCTATCGCAGTTTTTCATCATGACTCAAGCTCGTCCTGTGACACTAATCCCCGTCCCTTTAGCTGTCGTGCAAAGGGGGTAACCTGCCCTCTTCTCGCGGTTGGATTAGACTGATTTACACTTGTTCCTCGTATGCCCGCTTGTGTTTGTGTGCGGCTTGACCTATAATGGCACCTAATGGCATCATATGTCATCTGCAAGAGGACACTGTCAAACAGGACGCCGTCCCCGGTCACATTCAGCCGTAATATGGCAGCTGTTATTAATGTTGGCTCTCCTCCTGACCCTCATCAAAAACCACAGCTGGCAGAGGTGCTGCACGAGAATTAATAGAGCCCTTAAATTTAGAAATTACTTTTATCGTCATCTAAATTTATTGTCACTTTGGAGTCTGCTCAGTCTCTCTCCCCGAGGATATTTTATCTGTGTTGGCTCACCACACAAAGTAGTCCACAACGCAAGCTTTAAGTGAATCCACAAAACATTGGGGTCATCACCCTGATTGATCTACAAAGCTTTTCTCCATCTCTGCTGTCCGGCCGCTTAAAACGTCATCGATCGTCTCCTTCAGTCTACCTGCATTTCTTCTGTTGTGATTGGAACAGATTTGATTGTGGGAATCAATGAAGGAAAATGGATTTACCTGGGCTGACCTTGTTGGGACGCTCCATGGAGAAACAGGTTCAGAGTTGTGTTGAGTTTGCAGCCCTGCATGAGCCTCCGTAGACTTTTAAAAGCCTGAACTGGATCGCTTTTAATTCAACATGTTGCTGTTGCAGAGGTTTTATTTTGCAATAGGTGAAACGGCTCCCGCTAAGGGATCAATGATGGCGCAGAAGCAAAAACGAGGGGGAAGCAGTGCAGCTGGTAAACAACATTAACAACCTCTGCCCTGGTTTTCTTAAAAAAAAAAAAAAAACTGACTTCATTGGGGAAGGAAAATATTTTTTCAGAACATGCGGCGACAGCTTATTATAAACAACTCATAAAGTTTAAAGTCTGCAGTCCTGATTTTATGCACGCTCTCCAAAAAACTTGCCGTAGTGATTTTCCCCAGAGATAATGAAGACTGGCTGATTAACATGCAACATTTACCAGAATAAACTTCTGCAATGTGGTGATGCAAACCTACTTCAGTGAACAAGTATCTGGTCTCTGAGTCTGTGGTATCGGAAATTTGGGAAAACTTATTTTAAGATAAATGAAAAAGGATTGAAATATGCAGGATCCTACAGAATAGTAACTAAGCAGGACTGGAAGTAGAATGTAATGCTTCTGAGAGATATTAGTAAACTGTAAACCAAAGCAACACAAAAAAAGAAAAAACATTTTCTGATGTATATCTTAAATAAAAGTTTATCGTGCTTAATATAATGAAGATTTGAGTTTTGATCAGTAAATTCATAAAGTACATATATACACTTGGTGAGACACGATAAAAAGAAAATATCATAACTCTACAGTATTTAATAAAATGTAGAAAAAAGTCAACGTCAAATCGAAAACTATTCTCAAACCGAGTATCATAATCATAGTATATAAAATACAATGTTATTTTGTTATTGATATAAACAAAATACAAGCCTCAGAAATACTGCCAGGGATGCCCACATCCAGTTTCGGGTGGAGTTACATCCACTTTTGTAACTTTTTGAAAAAAAAAAGTACTTTTAGGAATAGTTTCCCTGCATTGTTTTTTATTTTTTGTAAGATATTTTTTATCTTTATGAAAGAAGAAAAGGGATAACATCACACTGCAGGGTATCATATTCATATGACATACAGTTTCCAGTGAACAGAGCCGGAACCCCACTCCCACCCCCGCCAACTCCGTTAACAATCATCACACCTACCCTCACCCATTCTCTCTACCAAAAAACATATCCATAACACCTTTAAAGCCAATAAATAACCTATGAGTTAGAATGATG